TCTCACCAAAATCCAAGTGTTCAACACCTATGTCCTATAACTATCCATAGATATCCAATGTTATGCATAAGTAATTAGAAAGTCAGTGAACGTGATACAAATGATTTTCACCACAGACCTTGTTAAGTTACCGTAACAGAGTGATTATGTGGCTCTCATCCGCCAAGGACGAGTGCTCATTCCGTCGCAGGTACATGGCACCCGAAGTGCTCGAGAACAAGGCGTGCTCTGCTTCGGATGCCCGGGAGCCAAGCGAGGGACCAAGCGGCCGCCACGCGCTCACTGTTCGCCCGGCGGACCGTTGTACCGGGCCAAAAGGGGTTGTACGTCGTACGTGACCACCTCGGGTAACGTACGTGCCATGCACGTACGCACCAGATGCATAGCAAACCGCATGCTCGCAGTCACTGGTGAACATCCGGAGCCTTGCCCCCCAACAAAAACAATGACCAAGGGTATAATCTCAAGATCTCAGAAGTATGCTGTAATCTAATTCTAAACTTAGGTCAGAATGGCTTGGCCGGTTTCATCAAAGGTCTACATACTACATACGCTCCTGCCGTGACACCCAAAACAGCACGTCTCGCCGGCCGGCGTCAGAACCGAGGTTTGGGCCATGGGTGTGGTCGCCTACGAGCTGATCTCGGGGGTTACTCGGAGCTTGCCTTTTCATGACATTGCTTGGTGTGGATGGCTTTGTAGGATGAATTGTAGGGTCTAAATTAGGAGGTCTATTGAGAGGCACAATAGTTGAGGTTTTTTTGGGACATTCCCATGAGACAAGATTCCATACTGCATCATACTGCCCAGTGAGTGAATCTGTGGGAAGATTCATTCCAACGCAGGGTCCTTTGATGTTCAGTCAGGTAGGTCCTCATCGGTCTGTGGACTCCCTTGTCTACCTACCAGTCGACACACAACACCCAGGGGACCTGTGGAAAAGGGCCCGAGCTTTCTTCCGAAAGGATGGAGGAACAACAGAAGCAAACAGCAATACTGAAAAAGCAAACTGGGTCACACAACGTGGTCATGTAAGAACACACCCTTTTCTCTCGGAGGTACAGAAAACAAGTGAGTGTCATAATATGTTTGAGGATGGCAGATGATGAGATTCATTGTTAGCTAGCTGACTAGATTAGGCACAAACGTCCACGCGATGATAGTATGTTTTGTGGCAATTTATTCTTCAAAGTGTCCTTTTCACATTTTGTTCACGTTTTTCTAGGTGACCCTTTAGAAGCTTGAGTAATGCAAATCTGGGATCTCGAATTTCTTTGAAGAACTATGTTCTCTAGCAACTCTGGTTTAACATAAGGAACATTTTAGGGGCCCAACGGGTTGGTTGTGTTTGGTGGAGCATGGATCACCCAACGGAGGACACCAGACCTTTTTTTTACACTTCTTAAGCCATTGGACGAGCCAGTAGCCTGGAGGACGCCCAAGTGAAAACAAAGTAACGATTTGAAGCCGTTGCCATCTAGACTGACATGGATGGTCGGCATGATGACCGAGACTGCCTGGGAATAGCATCAAAAACCAAAGGCCAAGCAGTCTCAAAGAACTCACAGAGAAAAGTGTTCCTTTACTTTTTCTCGCTGTGCAGAAACAACACAATATATATATATATACCCTAGGGATCCAAGTACCTTCTCAGAAGGTGATTGGAGACACTCTTATGTAGGTTTTGAGGGTCCAAGTACCTTCTGAGAAGGTACTTGGATCCCTAGGGATATATATATATATATATATTATACTCGCCATATTTTGGGACCTCCAGCGAACGCAGCTACAGAACGCAAAGGACAGAACTGAGGACCTTTAAACCAACCTTGTGGCCATGAACGAAGGAAACCACATCTAGTTCCGCATCCTGGACACACAGAAAGATGTGGATGGGAGCTGCGACCCTCTCAGGAACGTCCCTTTGTGGCCGATGCTCCCCTCGCCATGTGCCTCGAAAGCCTCGAAACGGGGAGGCTATAGGTGAAGCATCCGTATCCGGTTGAAAGCAACACTGACATTCCTGCCAATTCTTGCATATAAATTCAACTCATAGACTGTTATAGATATCAATGTGTCTATTTTAGGCTGTCGACTTCGCATTATGTTGGTTCATTATAGTTCATGAGACCTCAAACATACAGGAGAAAGTTACTAAGGTACTAAGGCTTGATTGGTTTAAGGTTCATGTGGCTCTTTGCTGGTCGCATGCATGCGCGGTATAAAAATAATATCCCCCGCGGTATAAAAATGAGTAATGAAATGGTCTAGGGACAGTACATGTCATAAAAAAGGTTAGTTAGTTTGGAAACTAGAACATAAATCTACACAGTATCAGTATCATTTCATAGAAGCATCAACTGGGGAAAAGAGGATTGCTGCTATGACCATGCCAGAGGTTTTGACAAGCAATTGTTTGAATCTCGAGGAGTGGAGACCAGTCTGGTCCAGTGGAAGTTCTGATAACTAATGTTATAAATACAGTTTGCTGGAAGTGATATTCTGGTATCAATTCAAGGCAAAGCATTTTTATAGATCCAAGCCGTGATTTGTAGCTTTTTTTGTTTTGACAGGCCTGGATAGGGCTATGCATTTTATAGAAAGGACAGCTGTTCATGTTATAGAGAATAATAATCCCCACAGTATTTCATAGCGGCAGCGTTTGTTTTCTATAAAATGAGATCCTGCCAGGCCTTACCACCAGACAAGGGGGGATTAAATAGTAAACTATAATATATCATATATTGCCATATGGGATACACATTGTATAAACGTGTTTAATCATCAATATAAGAAACAACTAACAAACCAATTGTATAATGACCTGTGTAGACCTTGAATAGCTGAAGGTGCCTTTCAATATAAGGAACGAATCAGAACAGTCTAGGCATCATGACACCAAGAAGAACCTATGAACATGTTTTGTGTGCCAACCCCAACCAAAGCTCTCCAAAGCTTCCTAGTCAAGCCAGGGGATCCTATGTGGAGTCCGTCGAACGAATTGGCTCCGAAGGTACGCAGCGCTACGGAATCAGGAGCTGAACATGGAACCTGCCCGGCACCCCAGCGGGGTCCAAACTGCTGCACACTGCTGCGAAATTCATCGCACCCGGGGTCCTGCCCTTCGGTTTTGTTTGTATGTGTTTTCAGTTTTGGAGCCTTGTTTCGGGTATGGTATGCGCAGTTCAAGGGTATCAGTTTTCCACGAAACAAGATGGGATGTAGGAGATATCAGGCGATGGGGTGCAGGGTTTCCCACCCTCAAAATGCTGCCTTGTGTCCTTGTCAACTGGTGCTTCAGTGGCAGCTAGTTGCAGTGAGATCTTCTGCTCCTTGACACCCAAGTCGTTACGTTGTCGCTAGGTCAGATTAAAATTCAAATGTAGTGCGGTATGCTTGCCAGGATCCCCCCTCATATCTTAAATCTTAATGTTTAATTTGTGTTTTTTGCCAGCTTTGCTGGCAAATGTTCTCGTTCATTTGCGTTCTACACTCACCGACACTGAAAGCGTATCACCCAGACAAAGCGAAAACAGCTACTGTTGCATGAAACCTGCATGGCTGCACTACTTCCGGCGAATGACCACAGGTAGATGAACAGAATTCACGAATGGCAGGGAAAGGCAAATTGGTTTTGGAAGAGTTTGTTTTGATCCACATCAATTTGACCACATCAATGAACTGTCAAGATGAAATCGTTTTTTCCACGAATTGTTTTTGATCCACATGACTCGTCAAATTATCATAGTTCATGACGCGTATCATACTCACAATCACTCCCAGACCAATGCAACGGAGACTCAGTGTATGTTGTTAACCACTAGCAGTCTCACCCACATGCGGTCGTGCACGTGAAGATGCCCACATGCAGATCATGCAGTGCTGTTGGGAAGCCAAAAATGCGTCATCACAAGCTACATGTCATTGAGATGGACATGGAAAAATGATCGATTGACTTGAAATAAACTATATAAATTATAGAAATGTATACCAACTATAACTGATTATGTCCATTTTTATACATATCCCTAAACTTTTTGAGTATAACTGAGGGAAGTTGGTTTCGCGCAAGCTCGAGACCAGGGTGGAACGGGGGGAAGGCCAAAATCCTGCGAGTACACGAGGTTCGCCGTGCAGAGGCCTCGCCACAATGCGTCGGGGGGCCGAAGGGACCAAAAAGGGACCAAAGACAAGGGAAAAGGAGAAACAGATGATGAGGAGATGTTTTGTTGGACATGGGGAAAGCATGCTTTCTCCCCTTATCTTTGTGCTCATGTTTGTGCTTCCAAGGTTGCCGCAGCGCGTTTTTTCTTTTTTTTTTTTTTTATCTGGCTGGTTCATAGAAGCACCTGCAGAAGCACCAAAGTGTAGAGGCATCCGAACGTCTTGGCTTATAGGCTGGAACCTGGCAACGCATTCCATCCAGTGATTCAGCCAAAGTTCAAGTGAATCCAAAAGGAAGAAACATGGAGAAGCCATTGATTTTAGCTGTAGGACATATGACCTGTGAATAGTGAGCTGGATGTTCGCTGTCGGATTTCCTGGTCGGATAGGAACAGAGATCAGATGTGTGGAGCAGAAACATGCCCAGCTTGGTCTGATGTCTTAAGCATTGAATAATTATATATATATATATAACTAGTATACATGTATTGATTTGTATTGATCGTACGCTCTGAACAACTCGCCTGGCTCAAGCGGCGGACCGAGCGGAGCGGCACGACTGAAGCGGTGAAGACATGAAACTGCGCTTGATGAAACTGCGCCAGAACAGGGCGATACAGTCATCTAGGAGTCCACGGTGTTCTGGAAGGAACAAAGGTAGGCCGCATGCAAGATGCAATTTTGCGGCATGCCTTGCACATTGCATCGCCTTTCGAGCTTTCAACTACGGAAATATTGTAATTAGAAGAGCGGCTCAGGGTCTAGACTTTTTTAAGTGAAAGGCCCACAGTAGCTGTCGAAGAAAGAGGCCTTGCCATCTAACCTTTGAGAGAAAGCACCGGTATACAAATCAGGCCATCAGGTCAAAGGTTGCACGAATTCGTTCTGGGAACGCGGACAATTCGCGGCCACATTGGCTGGGGGCCCCGGATGTCCAGATTCTGAATCGCTGAGCAGCTCCACTGAGCACGACTGAGCAAATCCACATTCTGTTCTTTTGATGTTTGGGCTTTTGAGCCCTTTGAAGGCGGATGGAAGCGTCAAGATGTGTCAAGGGACAGTTGGGCAAGTACCAAGCTTCACCACATCCACTGCTGGAGAATGTGGGTTGAAGGAAGGTGGTGATTTTTGAACTTGAGACCACCTTGTCATTGATATGTGTTCTTCGTGGTATCAGAGAGGTGGCCTGCTGAGAGTCAGGGCCTATTGCCCATGCCATCCAAGGCAGGGTATGTTAAAAAACATGGGGACCCTGGTCGACCACCGCAACGAGTGTACCGGAGTGGTTGGTATGCAAGTCCAAGTCCAAGAAAGTAGTAATGTTATGTTTTTACGGTCCACATCCCCTTAACTGCAGGGCCTGTCCGCGGTCTACGCAGCCACTAGACTAGACCATGACTAACATGCACCCTTTTCCTGGGTGACCACCGAAATAAACAGAGTCGATTGCCAGACATGGTCAACCTACTAGGGTCAATGGAACTGCCAGATTTCTTTGCCACATTACCATGAAGGACCTGTGAAGGATGCACAGATAGGTAGGACCTTAGGCGGGCGTCAAAACCCATCGCCAAGTCTTTGCTGAGGTTTGTGTGGCGCATTGCAAAGACAATGGGGTGCGCCCGTTTCTTTTTTCTTGGTGCTGCAGCTAGCCTGTTGGTTTTGTTGTGGTCAGGGTTGGTGGTGTTGGGTGTGTTCGGTGTCTTGCTGTTACAGTGCTTGTTCATGTGGCTGCTGCTACCATAGTGTTCTTGTGGTGTGATTGTGGTTGTTGTTGTTGTTGTTGTTGTTGGTGGTGGTGGTGGTGGTCTACGTTCAGTGTTGCAAGTTGCTTTGTTGGTGTCTCGCGTTGCCTGTTGCCTGTCGCAGTTGCTTGCCGCTGTTCCATCCTGTTCTTTTTTTTACATCCTTTGTTTGTTCTTTTGCCGCTGGTGGTCTTGTCGTTGTGCCATGTTTGTTTCGTGTTTGTTGTGTTGCTGTCGTTTGTGCTGTTGGTTCAGTCTGATTTGTGTTTGTGCTGCTTTGTTGGCCCTAGAGATAGTAGTGGACAGGCACTCGGAAAGGCATCGGATTGAGTGTCATCAGACAGACGATGGATTCATTTTGGACAAAGGAACTATACATGCAACAGGAACAATCTGTCCTTTTAAAATCCCGTTTTTTCAATTAGAGGACGTATACCGACTTAGTCCTCAAACCGGTGTCCTGTGTGACATCCACTTCACCGCAAGGGATCCGGTGCCAGGCAAGCTGCGGGACATGAGCATGGCCTTGATAGTGGGGGGGCCTCGAGAAAACCCGCGGGACCGGCAGTCTCCAATCACCTTCCCAAACCGAAGGTACGACTGGACCCGACAATGGCACCTACATAACCGTGTCTCCAATATTATCCAATCAACTTCTGAGAAGGTATTTGGATCCATATATATATATAGTTGTTTATTTTTTTCATACCCCACGCTCAGGGTAAGCCCTAGGTTGTTACATGTCGTTTACCGAATGTGGCCAGTTTTGTGGCCTATGTGGGCGGCATGGAGTGAAACATCACGACACAAGCAGTCGCAGTCATATCGACGCATCTCACGAGCCACATGGTGTCTTTCAGTCGTTGGAGTTTGGTAAAGGTCCCCAGTAGCATGGTCAAGCGAGGGACAACAAGTGGGCAAGCATGGGCGACCCTCAAGTTTTTCTTTGAGACCAGGTTGATTGGAAAGACACGGGGTTTAGGAGAGACTATAGACTTCACAGCTGTCTACATTTTGTATAGACAAAATGTCCTTGGCAGAAGGCGTAAGGATCGAAGATTTCAAACTAGATACTCTTGCATGCCCTCGCCAGACAAACTGCCACCTCCTGAACAGAGAATCCTATATGCTTGGGCCTTCACCTTTTGATTGAAAGCTATTCCAAAAACAGTCATTTTAGATCATTTTAGCATATTTTAGCCACGTATGAAGTTCAAAAAAAACACTTTTCTTCCTGATCAAATACTTTTGATGTCGCTCTTCATGTCATCCAAAGAAAAACTTGGTCACGTCATGTCACGTCTTCGTGTCTTCGGTCGTTCCGGTCCTCCGCGGAGACCCGCTGCCCAGATGTCATCAAGAGGGCTGCGAGCCGAGCCGGGAAGTTTACCATCAGCCGGGGGCGCCCGGTGACGGAGCCGGGCTACAAAGCCAAAAAGGGAGCCGGTGTCCTAGCAGACTCCACAGAAGGCTCGGATGAAGCTTTGAAGGACTGAAGCCTTTTGGGGCCTAGCAGGGGTGAAGCTTGGTGGAGCAAGCTTCACGCGCCCCACAAACCCCACATCAAGTTGTTTTCTTTGCAAGCGAGTTGCCCCTGAAAACCTAGAGGAGCATTGATCCTCTTCCGGCAGAGCAGGAACATGTTAGACGAATTGTTTGTGTTTTTGGCTCTCACTTGACAAGTATTTCCAGTATTGCTTGCGTGAGCCTGGAACACTTGGAAACACTGCCGTGGCTTTGCAGTAAAACGGGTCTATGATCTATAGAATTCTATATACCAGTCTAAATGATTGGAGGTGGCAACCTATCAATCAGGGATGTCCACCAAGAGTTGTGTTTTTTTGCTTGTTGAACTTGTGGCATTTGATGTTTGTTTCTTTGGACTCCAAAATAAGGGAGGAGTCGACTATAGATGATTCTTCCTGTTTTTGATCCTACTTGGTGTCGGAATCCCCAACCTTTGCAGAATGAGCCTGTGAGATGTAGCGGCCCCTGATCCGGTCATTTGGAGATTGACCCATGGGCCACCATGGTTACAGCAGCGGCCGGTGGCCGCTGTCGCCGATCGGCTCAGGGGTGTCGAGACGAGGAAAAGCCGACAAACGTCTCGGGGTTCGAGGTGGGCGCTACCATCGGATGCCGCGGAAGATTGAGGCGACCAGAAACGCATACAGTTTGGGGTTGGATGGGTTTTGGAGGGGTTGTGGAGGGGTTGAGTGAGCGCTTTGCATGGCTGACAACGGAAGCTGGGCTGAGGCAGTTTGCATGTGGTGAAGTACCCTCAAGACTTGGATGTTTCAGAATGACTCGTGATGCTTCGGAGTGTCAGCTGGGCGTGATCCCTTGTCCAACATGAGAACATGTGCCTTCTCGCAAGATGCAGAGGCATGTCCGGGTCACTGGTCTTGAGAACGAAATGAGTTTGACTTGGATTGAATTGTGAGACGGCTTGGGCTCTGATTGGATATGATGATCTCGCCAAAGCATCTCGATCATTGGCTTGTAGTGAAGCACTATGAAGCACTGCTTGCACAAGTCCAGTGTCAGAGTTTCGGTTCTACAGTTAAAACCACTGGGAGTTTCACTGTTTTTATGTTTGATGCTGGAACCACTTGGAAGTGGATGCTTTGGCAAATTCTCTTGTAGCTGGCAACATCTGTCAACCATGTTCGGACTGTTTAAAACGTTTTTGTTGGTCTTGCGCAAGTCCCAGTGAGAAAGTCTGCCGGATCCTTTCAGGATGACTATATCATCCTCAAAAAGAACGTCTTGGGTTCCTTGAACTGGGATGGATGCGACGTGTCTCTCCGCGAGGAGGAAGGAAAACGCGACGCGAGACACGCGCCTGTGAGCGGGAAGCAATACAGGCCCAGACACTGAGCGCTTGAGTGGAAGATTTACCTACATGTTGGATCATGATGGATGTTTAAATGTTCGGTCCCTGTACAGTACTATAGTAATATAGTATATTATAGTATACTTGACTGGACCAGTCACGTGCTGTTTACTTGATTGTCATAAACTCGAGGGCCTTCTTGGTTTTCTGACCACAACATATATGGAGAGAAACGTTTACTCGCTAAAATCTCTGCTGCAAGGAAGAGCTAAGTATTCATAAGGATTCTCCATGCTTCCATTCAGATAGTTCACACCCAGGTCTACACTTTCGAACATATAGTTTCATCATCACGGAGACATCCTTGCTAAGAAATGCCGGCACAGTGGCTCCGCGCTAAACAGTGCTGAACTACCAAACTATGCCAAGTTGGTGTTTCTAGGCGCCAGGCGCCTGAAGAGTGATCAGCTTCTCATGTAGAGTCTTGCTGGAATGTCACCTCCAAGGGGTGAGTAGTTGGAAATGATCACTTGGGCTCAGGTTCTGGCTACAACGGCAAGGCGCTTTGTGGAATCCGTCTGTCTGGGGTTGGCTTTGCAGCTCTTGGAGGTGGTATGGCGGCTGACCCCTTTCTCCAGCGAAGGAATGTCCCATCAAATCCAGACTGAGCACTGCTTACAGCGAAAGGCAATGATCCTTTCAGTTTGAGACAAATTTAAACCAGTTGAATGTTTTGGGAGACAAAGAGGAAGACCAAATATTGACCAATGTTTCCTATATTCCCCTCGAGAAGATAAACTCGGCTAAACTGCAATAAGTGGAAAAAGGCCGCCTGAGCAAAGGGACTTTCCTTTCCACAAAGTCTAGCTCAGTGCTACTTCCACAGCATGCTGTGGAGTACTTTGGTATTTCAAACCATTTCTCTTGGCGGCTTGGGGACATTGTTTACATCGACAGACGGCTAGACCGACGGACGGCTCGCGGTTTCGACGTCTTTGTCGGAGGTTTTTGAAGCCCGTGGCCGTACCGGTGGCGGCACGTGACTTGGCTTTGAAAAAGTCGGCCGCCGTTGGTCGCAGTCGGATGTGGTGCAGATGTTTTTTCATCGGTCGCCGTCGCAACGAAAGAGAAGTCTGGGAATAGTCTACTCCGTTGGTTTGAAGTCCTTTTTGTTGAATGCTAGAGAGGGCCGGAGAGCATTTCTAGAATTGAAACATCAATCATTGTTGAAGGGGTGTGAAGGGGGGTCCAATTATATAGTATCATAAGACCCCAGAACCTAAAAAATACCAGGTCTATAGGTATTATATTACGTCTATTTTTGTGGCACATGTTCGTGTTTTGTCTATTGCAACTGGTACTTCGGATCCGGGCAGCCACCAGAGTAGCTGTGGAGGTCGATTCAGCTGAAAACTGAATGCCTTTGATTTCAGGTTCAGCCACACTACGTAGTGATACTATCTGTGATACTGTAACAGTTGCAATTGTGCTATAGTTTTGTTTTTGTCAGAATCCCTCCTTGCCATCCTCATCGTCCTCCATCCAAGATGGTGGCTCATGGCATGTCCGGGCACGTCCGGTCGTCCGGACTACCTGGTGGACAGGTCGGGCGGACTACATGGTTGAATGACCCGGTGGAACTGATGGTAAGATATTGCAAGGTGCAGAACCCATTGGCTTTCTTCGCAGCCTGTTGCCGAGGTATGCAGTGAAAGGCTTCAAGCTGGTCGGCGTCCCACGGGAAAAGCGCGCAGGGGGGCCCCAGAGGTCGACCTCCTCGCTCTCGAGAGCCACAATGGTCCGTCCTCGCTCTCTCGAGTGGGTGCGCTCGATCAGGATGGAAGGGGCGATGTTCCGAGATCACAGGGTGTTGGTGGAATTGAGTCCCAGACACTCCATGGGACTGGTATATTGACCGATCAGGCCAGGTGGTGGTGCCATGGGGGGTCTGTTTGGGGCGGCAGTCCGGACTGGCAGTCCCATGGAGTCTCTGGGAGTGGGTTCCCCCCCTGATCAAGAGGTATCAACAGCCCACCAGGAGTGCCACCAGGTATGCATCAATGTGCCTGGGACAAGGATGACATGGATGACAATTCAGGGACTGCACTGAACCAAAGACATGACTTGCAGTAGAAGAAGTTTGATGAAGTTTCCGACTTTCTGTGGGATACCAGGTGTGTTGAATGAGTTTATTGCATTTATATATGTTTTGACCGACTGGTCAGGTTAGCAGAGCTGTAGTCTCCAGACACAAAATGACTTGGATCCTGGGTCGCAAAGGCAGAGGTGCCGGTCTCGAGATCCTGCGAACCGCAAAACATCGCAACACGTGGTGCCGGAATCCGGCTGCCCGGCTGAACTACACGACGGAATCCGCCCGCAGGAGGAACTGGAAGCGGAGTGTGAGATCTTTTTGGCCCGCTTCTGAGCCTGGGCGATCTTCCATCGCTTCGATCGCGGCGGGAGATCGTCCATTGGGGTTCTCTCCCCAATCCGACGGGTCGTCCGACAGGTTCTCCCCAAACCGCCACACCAAAAGAATCCCAAAGATGGAACTCAACCGAGTGCTCACCCACATCATGGGGGTATGAAAAATGGCTCAACAGATTGGAGGCGATGATGTGATGACCACTGAAGCTACAGTTGTTCTAAGGTCAACAGACAACTAGCGCTGCTGTTTTTGCAGTCAAACCCGTTTCTTCGGCCTTTTGCACTCATTGACTCGTTCGGCAGCACGAAGAACAATCCTATCCCTATCCTCTCAAGACCTTTGTTTGTGCATGCCTGAACTGACTGAATTACAAATGTTCCAATCCTCAGTTGCAGAGATCAGCGCGTTTGTATATCCCGCGCCAACTTCGGCCCATCATAGCGCTTGGCCAAGGCCATGGATCATCCTCATGCTGGAAGCTCAAAATGCGATGCGTGCTGGAACTCTGCAGAATCTACATACTGCTACATATATACTGTATAGTTACATCAGAATGACCTACATGATGTATATTTCAGCCACTATTTTCAGAAAACTGCCTGGAACATCGAGGCAGCAGTGGGAAGCGATTTGGGGACTGGTTTAATGTTGTATTTGTTTGACTTGAATTTGATCGTTGATTCTCACCCTGATTCCTGATGATCGCTTCCAAGGTGACTTAAGAGTATGACTTAGGGGCTTTGCTTTGCACGATGTGTCACAGGGCAGGGCAAGATGACAACATCCTCCATTACGATAAACTGTGTCCTTGCTCAAAGGATCTCAAAGACAATTGTTGCAGTATGACGTGACTCCCATGTAGTAGGATGAAGCATGATGAAGCTATATGTACTCGTACACCTAAAAAAGCAAAAGTTCATGAGTGTCTCGGAGGTCCTGCTTGCAGCTTCATTTTCAATTGTTTTCTTATGTATGTTAACCGGTTTTATAACACACGAACTCTACGAGTACATAGTTCGGTATGAGTGTGTACAGTTTAACTCTCGTGATATTTACAAGCTCAAGCCGAGTTCGGGTAGGTGCACGTGGAATTACGCAGCTCTGAAACCTTTTGGAATTATGGACCATGGAACTATAGTGAAACTCCCATGTATGAACATCCTGCACTGAATTCTGAACATTCTTGTATGCAAAGGCAGCCCGGTCTCAGCTGTACAACAACCCCGTGGCTGACTGTGCTTTGTTCCTGTGAGGTGGCCAGATTGGTCGATGTCTATGAGTCGCAGGAGTGTGTTGTTCTCCTCAGCGGGACTGGGGGGTCGTGTACCTTCCTGTGTTCATTTGTTTTCATCTATTTGCATTCAAGGCAAAGACTGGGCGTTGATGTTCTGCACGTCCCTCTCTTCCACGCCGGTTTTGCCGGGACCCATACCTGGCTTAGTGCCCCAAATCCATCCCAGGGGTGAGAACGGCTGGGTTCGTACCGGAGCTTTTTCCGATCCACGTGGCGACCTACCGCCGTGCCGTGACACCGTGAGGAGCAGCTGGCCTTGGTGATGGAATGCATGTGGGCGCCCGGAGTGTTCTTTTTCTTCGACGCAGGTAGTTCTATTGCCTTGTCGACTTCGTTGGATGACGTTTGATCACTTTGCTAACATTCGTACGGTGGGCATGAATCAGAATGAATCTTCTTGGGCAAGTTGTTTGTAGATACCAAGGACTGTGGTGGCCCATCACCGGGTCAACCGGTAAAGGATGTACCGTTCTATGAGGGTCTATGCAGTCATTGTCCTTTCCACTGGATTTTACATGATTTTACCATATTTGTACAATATTTACAGACATGTGGGGGAGATGTCTTAAGCCTGGAAAATTCGTTGATACCCTGTTTTGGTTGAATCGGCCGTTTTTTTGGGGGTTGGTAAATCTGGTTGCTCTGCAGATCTCGAGACTATAGTTTGATTCTGTATATGCCAGTTTTCAGTGGAAGCTTCCTGGGCACTGGTTGGCGTTTCCCGAAAAGCTATCGGCCGACAGTGGACCGCGGTGGTATCCACTTGCAGGGTGCTATCCACTTGAATTGCTGTAAACCCCAAGACATTTGGCAGGCTGCTCCCAGCCTATAATGGTTCATTTGTGTGAGGTGCTGCGTTTGTTCCTGTCTATGGAAGCTGCAGCTCGTTCAAACGGTACTCGGTACAGATCCAATGGCACAGTCGATCGCCAGGTCCGGCGGAGAGCTCTTTGGACGGGTGCAGAAGTCCGGGCGCTGAAGTCCACGTTTCACTGCGGTCCGTCAAAACAGCAGGAACTTGGGAGGTCCTTTTGCTGTTGGAAGGTTTGCTAAGTACGTTAGGTCACTCCAGTCAATCCCATTGTCGCATCAAGGACTATCAGTTTAACTTACCACGGTCCTTAGCGATCTGAAAGGCTTTGACCAAACATCATTTTTTTCAGGGACGGGTCATCTTTTTGCTGATGGTTCCTATTGAAAGGATACTATAACTTAAGCTTTTATCTTCGTATACATTTTATGTTAAGTGCCCCAATTAAGTCTAGGAAGCACATGATCAGTGTCTTCGCGCTTCTTCAAGGAATTCCCCCCTGCCCATGCTCTACGGGGGGAGTTTCCGTTCGAAGAAGTGTGAACTATCCTGCGTCCATACTAGCAGCTTCAGTGGCTAGCGGCTTACTGCCTTAGTTAAGTAGGTGCCTACTTGTGGCTAGCTTAGGAGGCAGAGCCATGGACTTAAAAAATATAAGCATGTTGTGCTGCGGGGGGTTCTCCAGAAGTCGCTGTTGTTACCGAGCCACCGAGGCTCAAACGCTTTACAGAGCAAGCGGCGGCAGATGCCGTACGGAGCCAAGTGATGCCGTGCAGTGCCAAGGGTTTGTCCCAGTAAACCTGTAAACAGTCGGTAAACAAGAACATGACTAATTGCTTTACAGAAAGGTCTGGACTTATAGTGAACTAACTAACCATCATCATCCACAGTTACTGGCAAAGCATTGGATAATATTGGGATCTATTGGGCAAAGCATTGGGCAATATGTGGCAGTACTGCGCTGCCTAGAGAGTCCTGGAGGATCTGGTGGGGTACGCGTACACGGATCCCATGTCTTTGGACGGCTCCTCTGGAGTCGTTTCATTGAATCAGTTGGAATGTCTAGGGATCCAAGTATCTCCAGTTCTATACAATCAGATTTCGTTCAGACAGAGTCGACCCAAGCACCATGTGAAACGGGGTTCAGGATGAACATCTTGGGGCACCAGACAAATCTATGCAGCTGCCATCTGCCGGTGTCCAACGTCCATTACTTTGATTTACTAGCTGGTGCTCAGGAAGGAGCTAAGGAGCGTAAGGAGTGTAAGGAGTCGGGGTATCCATATTGCCCCCATTAAATCCATTAAACAGGGAGCAAAGAAGCTACAGAGAGTTCCCCAACACAGGACCTTCTTTATGATCCACCAAGAAAAGCCTGTAAAAAACTAGCAAGCTTTACAAGCTTAAGAAGCTAGTTTTACAGGATCTAAATGATCCGGCCAACACCGGACAAGGGATGACAGACGCAGAAGTACCCAGGCAGGTCAGTGGCAAAGTCTCGAAGCATAGAAGTACCCCAGTGGATCCCAGTGGATCCCTGTGCACATGTTTTACTCTTGGAAGGCCCTGGTGACCTAAGTCACAATTGTGTTTACTTACATGCCTTTTTGCTACTAGAAGCTTCTTGTTACTAGTAGTATTGCCCTTGATACTAGTAGCGATGCACTTGTTACTAGTTGTTTTCCTGGAATTCACCAGATTCCGTTGACCTCAGGCGCGTCAGATGCTCTTGGCCGTGAACTACATCCACGGCCGGGACGCCGTTGGGGATGTCATCTGGATTGGCAGATGGACGAGATGTGTTCACTCTTGAGGCATTGAAGTAACAGGGGCATTGCTACTAGGAGCAAGAAGCTACTAGGGGCTCCTGGCCTTACTAGTAGTAACAAGAAGCTATTAGTAACAAGGGCATCGCTACTAGCTACTAGTAGCGATGCCCTTAGGGATTGAAATGGTGGGTCATGGCACCCCGGACCCCCTGGTTGAGCCGTGAACATGAACAGATTCCTCTATGTTCGGAAGGTCAACCTCCCATGGTAGGGTGAGGTGCCATGACCCAGAGCCGAAGGTACGTGTGGTGCTTCCAGTGCGTAGATAGCCTACGACCCAGGTCGATACCCTACGAGCGTAGATAGCCTACCCTAGAGGTTCTGAGACATGTGTTTGCTGGGTCGAACGATGTGGAAAGTTCCAGTGAATTTGGGAAGGCAACAAGCAAATGACCCTACTACTGATACAGTAATGCTTCCTTGACTTGTGTCCTGCAGTACTGATGTTGTACCAAAAATCCCTACTGGCTGTATGTGACTTCAGTTGAGTACAGTTGATGGGTGTCCTTGTTAGATAGGATTGCCATGTGGCCATCGTCCATAGTCGTTGACATGTTCTTTGAGGTAAGGATTTGTTGGATCATAGATAGGTACCTCAATATTGCAAATTGTTCAGATCAGTAGGACCTTCAAGTTCTATATAGAGTTAAGTGTTGTATAAAAGATCAAATGTCCTGCAACCAGACCCAGGCCTAGAGCCTAGAGTCATGGGAGTTCGCTTTGTCAGTCAAAGACCCAGCAGGGCACAGCAGATGGAATGGCCCCTGCTGTTGCTGGGTCTTTGTAGTGCAAACCTCAAGCGATTCCCATGATCAGTCGGAAGATGTAGGCGTCACTTCAACCGCAAAAAAACAATCTAGGGTGTATGTTCCCATGAAGTGTTGTTTGGTTCAACGAGTTCATTGTTTTGTTTCGGTTTCCACACCACACTTCCATGGCACTGCCAAACACGTCGCCCACGCCACATGCCACGTGCGGCCTCGCTACTTGGGCAAGGTATTGGCGTCGTGCACCGCGACATCAAGCCACTTAGCTCGACCAAGACACAGACTGCTCGGGCGACTGCAGTGTGTGTGTGTGTGTGTTTTGGCCGGATTCCAGCAGGTGTTTCGCGATCGTTGGGTTTGAACCGCACTTCTGTGAGAACACCGATTGGAAATTGCTTCATATAGGGTCTTGTCCGGTTTGTCCAGTTTCTCCCATGCTAATGTTGCATCACAGTGATGTGATGTGTTTGTTATTTATGTTCTAAATAACATGTGACGCCGTGGCTTCCCTACTAATGCCATCATCATCATCAACCTTGTATAGTCGGGTTGCTCAAGATGGTTTGATCACCCTGTATTAACATTCCGCCCAGATGTGGGATTATATTAGGCTTCGGCTTAGGTCAGATTGAACGCTTGATGAGGACCCTTCTTTGGTGGTAACATGTTTTGTTGTTTGAGCATGTTTGAGCAAGCTTGGGTGTTTTTTGTTGTTCGAACTTGTTGCGCGTGGCAAAGGGGATTAACTGTGGTTTTCAGGAAAGATTGATGGGGGGTCCTCCAATACCCCCCCTCAGACTGCTGTTTGAGCCTAACTCGTTTGGTGGTCTTCAACACCAATCGAGGAGCGAGGACCTCGGCTCCCATCGCCGGCTCCGGCGACGACGAGCGAGTCGTCAAAGGGCCGAGAACATGCTTCGCTCATAGGCTCGAGAACTTCCTCTTTGAGAAGCCCGAGAGCGACTTCTTGAAGCTCATCGATTTTGGCCCGGGAGTCCAAGGGGTGGAAGCATGAGGATCGTATTCCACCAGATCTCTTGAGAGCCCTGGGAAGGTGGTAGAAGTTGTGGAATGTGTTCTTGAGAGTTAGGAGGGCTTGGGGCGGATTGTTTGGTTGAGGGGGATTCCCAACAGTTTCTACCTCCCTGCGCACATCGGAGGCTTCAGCAAGATTTGGAAGCCCAACACCACCATGAGACTGAGCCGCAACCTCAGCCCATTTGGACGGAAACTTGATGGTAGCAGTAGCGGCCATGAGCAGCTTCTTCTTTGCTGATCGGCGAACTTGCGAAACTGGATTCCCATGGCGAAGAAAGGCAATGATGCGATGAAGCGATGCGACTGGTCATTAAGTCATTCTCATGGCTCAATTCGTCCGAACTTCACAAGCTCTTGTTCAGGCATCTCACCACAAATTTCAACCAAGGCTGTGGGACCTTGGCCTATGTGGCTCCGGAGGCAGACACCTGATTAGCTACTGGTTCGGTTGGATTGCAGACTACTCCGTATGCAAGTCTTCCAATGCCCAAATATTGCAGCCAGGTTGATTTGGTCCAACGTGAAGTCTTCAATGATGGGAACATCTGATGAAATCAGCCTTTGGAGTGGGTCGTCCTTGGTCGTATCATCCACCAACATTGGAGTCTACAGTCATGTCACTCGGTTTTTCACCCTGAGATCGATGAAAGCGCAGTCTTTGTTCGCGTGGAGCAGGTCTTGGATCAGAACTATACGTCCCAATGTGACCTTTGGAGCTTGGGTGCGGCGACCCATCAGGGAGAAAGGAGGTGTCCGGAGGAGATCGGGTTGAGAATGGGCATTGACATTAGGAATCAGATCTAGGGGTCGCACTCGATGAGCTCGAGTTCCGAAATCTAGAGACAGGGCCCTTGTCATTGTCACACGTGACTCCTTGCGAGCAGAGTCCTGAGCAATGGTGCTTTTGTTCGAATTTGTTGGAGGCCCTTGGATCGCAACCCTGGACACTGAGGTGTGACTGTGTTCATTTTGCTCTTTGGCTACATGCCATTCTCCGGGAATGAGGACGGAGCACCGAGACTGAAACATGGACCCAGCTTCCCTTCATTTCTAGAGTTTAGAGTGAAAAAGTGCGCTACAAAAGACTGCGCTTGGAGTAGGTGAAGACTTTTGAAAAGACAACCCTGCTTGATGCCCTGCCCAGACGCCGTGCCTGCCGTTTGCAATCATGGCATCCAATGGAACCTTCAAAAGGTGGAACGGCACCGTTAAAGTCCTCTGGATTGCTGTGGCTTGTGCAACCCCGCTCAGTGCTGAAACATGGAAAGCATGACGCTTGGCAGGTGTCCGGATTGAGCATGCACTCTCTGGCATCAGAGATTCTGCCCCTTTCTCCATGTAAAGCAACACTAGATCCCTGAAAGGAGAACTGGGTAATACTGGATATGGGTATGGGTGAAACGTGGTGAAACGTACATTGTTCATGGGAACCTTCAGAAGTAGATGAGGTGATTGGGCGGCTGCACGTTTTGAGGCTGGTTGCCCTATATAGACACTGCACCGTGCACCATCGACCTGGTCTGCGAAATCTGTCACGTCAGGACAAGCAGATCTCGGACATTAAGAATGGCCGGTGGGGTTGCCTATTCGAGACGGGTTGGGGCCGCGAGCTGCTGTTGGGGATTGCAAAAAAGGCCTGCCTGTGAGTCTCAGAGATGTTGCATGGTTATGCAGAGGACAGGTTGGTGCAGGGACATGCAGTGGTTAGACTCGAACAAGGTTTCTCAGACACCTTTGAGGCACGAACATGGTGGGATTCTGCAGGTCTCGAAACCGAGACCGAACCCCCGCCAACCCGCTTTGCCCACGCTCTGCACACGCTCCACGTGGGCCATGTGAGAAGAGACATCTCGGTAGAGGACGCCCCCATCTTCCATGGATTCATTGTAGTGCCGTCACCGTGTTCCAGACATTTCCCGGAGGATTCACTATTGTGAGATAATTTTGAGAATACGGACGGATATCGCCGGGAAACCAGGCATATGTTGTTTTTTTTTTTAAAGATGGATTGACAGTATTGAGGATTGTATAATAGAGGCTGTCCTCGTTTTCAATAGGCCAGTTGATGGTAATTATGTCGTGGGTAGCTGTGGAGCAGAGGTTTGCTGCACCTGTTGCAGAATACCCTGATCTTGAGAGTGTTTGGATCGCTGGTCATGCTGGCTTTGTATTCTTCCCAGTGTTGATCCTGCACAACCCCTAGCTGAATCCTAGTCTCCTAGCTGATCCCCATGCTCGACCATGTTGACCCATGCTCGACCATACCATGAACCCCATCACATTGATCCATTAGTGGACCGTATCAGACGCGACTCGTTCGCTCGGCCCTTCGTTCGGTTCGACCGGTGGACCGGTCGATCCGCAGGTACACGGTGAAGCCCGCCAAGTGGGACAGCGCCGCCCGGCGAACGAAGCGGTTGGAAGGAGTCCGGAGACGGAGCCACCGGTGTTTTGGACATCAGTCAAAAAGGATCAAAAAGGGCACGGCAAGGAGAAGCAAGGCAAAAAAATGAACAAGAATGAACATAAAAAGAAGAGCAGTGCTTGCAATGCCACGTCGATCCTGTTTCTTTGTATTTTACTGTAGTCAGCAGTGATCAGCAGTGTTCTTCCAGTTAATGGGGATGATTGAGTAGTTGATTGCTTTCAGTCGATAGTAAGTTGCGCTGGACTTGGTGGAACAGCCACCCAGTGGAACCCAATTGACTCTCGGACCTCTTGTATAAACAATCAAGAACGTGTATGGAGAATCAGGATCTTTAGCAGGGACTGCCTATGCTTTAATCGAAGAAGTGATGATTGCCGGTGTGACATCGAGAAAAAACCATGGGAAAATGATGGAACACTGTGTTCAGTACGGGTCGTATGACGAGGAAGAAAGACAGGTCATCCGAGTCTTCGTCATGCCATGGACATGTTTATCGAGTCCACCGGCTTTGGGACGGACCAGTCGGTCCCCGAGGTCTCTGGGGTGGCCCAAGACTTTGTGAAGAAGTTGTTGGTGGTGAAAGCCAACTCCAGGTGCGTGGACTGGGAGCTTAGTAGCTTCGAAGCTGGTCATGACTACCATGTGTGTGTGTTGTTGGTGCTGATGCAAGGCTTTTCGAAGGTGTTCAAGCACTGTGTTTTCCCACACCCTGACACTGATGCAATGCAATCCTTTGGCGGAAAAAGCTCCAAGAAACCCTAAGACATAGCAAGAATGACTTCCTGCACCATGGAGCGGAAGCATGAAGAAATACGCTATTGAGGCCACCAAAACAAGGAGGCTCCTGACTCTCCTGTCGGATTGGAATGCGACAAGACAAGACCCGCAGAGAAAGGGTCGAAGCCACCTGCAAGGGTCGATACCAAGTCCTTCCCGACCAAGATCCCAACATATCACGAAGGCAAACATTGGAATCACAATATCAGTCCACGAGTCCACGTCTAGACTTATAATATGGTCCACTTATTATCATTGTATAGGTGTTTTTTTCCAAAATCTTTCGTGGGTTGATTCTTCTTTGCATGGGTCACCACTTCCTTAGTGGGTCTTTTTTTTTGCACGCGTCGCACTCGGGGTGTTGAAGCCACCGACGTCAGGATGACAGCGGAGGACGCCTTGAAGCATCCCTTTATTGCTCCCATCTTAGCCCGCTCATTCTGACTCGATTGTGCTTGTTCGGAACAAGAACGGCCAATTGTTCGGCTACCCGAAATTCCAGCAAACATAGCATGGCATTCATATAATTAGCCAGGCTTCAGGCTGCGATCTAATGTTTCAGCAATGGTTGCGCCTTGCAAATACTTATAGTTATATGTTGTATGTTTATCGAGTTGATTATTGTGTATAAATTGTCTTGCTTTCCGCATCTCACATGTTGAGTCATGTTGAGTGTCCCAGAATCCTATTCGTCATGTCTTTGGAGAAACTGTTCGCTGACCGGAGCCCAGGAGCAACGACATCAGTTGACCAACGAGGTGAACAATGAGATCGTGCCTGGCTCGCGTTATATATTGCATGCAGTATGGTTGATGTTGATTTTTAGATATGGTTTTACTATGTTTTACTAAATACTAACAGATGAGATTAGATGTTTATAGTGGTGATTTTGTTGCAGCAACTAGACCCACACTTAGGGGTTTGCAAGACCACGTAGCCGTCGGTCGTCATGGCGGTCTAACATCCTCATGTATCCTCATTCTCCACAGGTGTTCATGGCACATCCAACCAACTCAGCCCCACAGCCAACCATGTCGGCCTGGTGGTTGGCTGATGGCAATCCATGAGATTTGAGCCTTCTTTGAAGTCGATTGAAGTCGTTTCTTATGGACATGAACAGACAAGTTGTATCAAGGTAAAATGAGAAGGAGTGGGGTAACAGCGCACTTTTCACTTTCAAGCTAACTGCGAGCTGGAAGCATTGCAGTTGCCCGCCGATTCCAATCCTTCGATTTGGCCCAGTGAGTGGGCCATTGACTTCTGCAGAACCCCTGTTTGTGCCCCCAATATCCTTTGCAGCCCCTCCAGACCTCCTGGCTCAAATGCCAGTCTTCAGGGAGGTACTGGTATCTCCGATTCCTGCGATTCGTCCTTCCTGAGTATTTTTGTTGTGGCCTCTCAGTCATGACTTCCTCTTTCAGGGTCCCCAGTTTCGCCATGTTTCGGCCACCTGAAAGCGCCATGAGGTGAGCGCTTTGGTGGACTTCGGCAATGCCTCCGCCTTCCGCCGAGCGTGCTTGTCGATGATGGCCCGGGCCCCACGGTCGAGCGTCGACCAGTGTGCGGGCGGTGGTTCAGGTTCAGGTGGTCATCACTCTGCTCAACCACCATCACTACCCCAGCTTTAAACTGTGGCATCATCAGGTTGGTTCGAGTCTTTTTAAGTGCAAACTGGGGTGGGGGTCTCAGAGAGAGGGCTGCTAGCTGAAGACCGGAGGAGTCGCCCAAAAGGGGGTGTAGATTTTGACGCGGCATGAAGTGAACATGGATTCTAAACCTAACTCCCTTGGATTTGTGCAAAGGGCTTAAAGAGGACATAAATGTGTTCGCCAGAGGGGGTTTGGAATTGCATGCAGTTCCCAATACATTTTCCAGGTGTCTACAATATAGTTATATAAACCCAACTTGGTTGGGGCGCAGCATTCGAGACCAGAACTGAGCTGCCACAATCAAAAGACCTCCGTAAGCTTATGATAGTTTTCCGGCGGATCCAATTTAATTCTGCTCCTTGTGTCGAAACCAGCGGATCAGCTGTCTTTTCTTGCAACATCCACAAATCAATCATACACAGGAAGATCGGAATATCTGCAAGGAATACCAAAGAATCAACAGATGCACACTCGCTAGGTTACTAAGCCAAGGAAAACCTTGGAGTACTGGGGAATGGAAGTGTTTGGGTCCGAAAGGGTGCCGGGCTTCCCATGTCGTTGCTCAGTTCGTGCCTCGTGTTTGGCCCGACCAAGGCTTGGTCCCTGACCAATGAGGAACGCTCCAAGGTAAGGGAAGCCTTTATGCAGCTGGATGAGGCCGTCCTGTTCCGGTATACGGACGGAGGCATCGGGAGCCCAGAGGACCCCGGCCATAAGGAACCAGCGTTTCTATGGCTTTATAGTCTTCGGAACCACACCTGGTGACCATCGACATCCGTTGTCAAGCCTGGATCCACTGGGGAGAGCGTACCGGTGCGTGCGCGTACGGCGCATCCGGTTGTCATGGGGTGCGATGCGGCATCCGATGTGGGCATACCTTCGTGGCCAGCTGCCATACCGCTTCTGAGCTGAAAAACTTTGGGTTTCCGCCGACCGCATGACGCCAGGATAAGACTGGCGTGATCAAGATCGGCGAGCTCAAGAAGGCCCCGGCTGTTGCTGCCAGTGGAGAACGGAAGCAACATGGTTGAATCCACAGTGGAGAGTGGCAACAACTTACAACAATCTGTATCCCTATAGGGCCCTGACAACTTTCCATGCATTCGTTCCGACGACCAAACCGGCTGAGCTGGAAATCCCTGACTTCTGAACTGAAACTGGTGATTTTCTTCCAAACTAGCAGGTGGGTAGAGTTGTAAAGCTGTTCACGAATCGCAGCCCCTCTGAATGCATCAAGACCCCATAAACACAGGGATATAATGGTGAACTTTTTGATACTTGTTGTATCTATTTGTTGCGCTTTTGGTGGTTTGTGGCGTTTTAGTTTGTCCAATATTAATGAAGGCTGTTTTCTGTGCACAAACATTTGGCAAGGAGTTTCCACACCTCTCCCTCATGATTTGTTGCAAGACAGTACAGAGTCAGTACAACCAGTCGGATGTCATGATGTCAGTACAGATTCATCAAGCCATCCAGCATAGTTCAGAACAGTTAGGTAACTGACTGATTCCAGATGATTGCTGCACCCAGGGTGTTCTTGAGGTATCTATAGTAATTTGTTGCAACTAGTTCAACACTTTGGACTTGGATTTGGCCCAACTCGGTGCCCTCATCCATGGTTTGCCAATCATAAATTGCCTTTTATCCTTGGTGGATTCAAAGCGATGCTCCAAGATTACAAACAATGACACATCAATATACAGCAAGTGGTACCTGGCACTACCATCCATCATTGACCGCTCGATCTCTTCTCTGACATCCTTACCGCACCCATAGACACCGGCCGAGAGCTTTGTCGCGTTCGTTCCTTCTCGCCACGAGGTGCTGGAGCAGAAGTGCCGCATCCACGACGAAGATGCCACGCGGATCTTCCAGGCGACCGACGCACGACCCTGCGCGGGCCGTGGCGCCGTTGGGCCGGCGGACGAGTGGGGCCCTCGCACGGTGCAGAGCTTCGAACTCGGAGTGCGAAGGAACAGGTGTTCAGCTGTTCTGTGCTTTGCCAAGCTATGTCCGACCTGAGGAGGCCGTTGGATCTCTGTAGGTCATAAAACATCGAAAGCTTCCAGGGAGCCACATGGGCCCAGCTGGACGAGCTAATAACGAGCGCATCGTCGCAGGCCTTGGACACCACTCAGTCGGATGAGATCCATTACTCTGAGTTTCTCGCTCGGTGCCCCAAAAGTCTGAGTTTCGCGTGGGAAACCCGGCGGAGTGAGTTGCGAGGCGAATCGCCCGGCTCGCTTCCGGTGCACAAAAGGCTGTTGAGTGCTGTTTTGGGGGGAAGAAGGCTGCGCACGGTTCAAGCGTTTGTGATCGGTTGTGTCTTTTTGACTTTTGTGTGATTTTGTTTGCGTCTTTTTTGGTTTTGGTTGTTATAGTTGCAATGTGATCAATAGTGTGGGAGCAACCGGATCGCCAGATGGCAGATTATGATATTATTATGAAACATTGAGTATCGACAGTATCGACGGTACCGATACATCTATATATATATATGATGTTGTATGCAGCGGTTCGAGTACTAGTAGGGTTCAATGCTGCACAAGGTTGTGACCATGTATCGACCGGAATGCTGGACTTTGCTGTTTGGGAAAGATAGTTCACCGGCCTCACTCTCGGAGTAGGCCCAGGCTATGCCTTGAAACAACACCCAACCACGCCATGTATGCAAATATTAATATGAACGACTCTTGGATACTTTTGATGTTGGTTTAGTGGTGGATCCAGTGGATGTATGTACAGAGGTTCCAAAGCAATCCGGCATAGACCATGCAAGGTTTGATTGGAGAACCGAAATGACCAAACTGCTGTTCAATTTGTTTAGGTCTTTGAGACACCCCGAAGCAGGTCGCTTAGGCAGGTTGCCAGGTTCTCCGCCGAGGGCAGTAATGGCTACCCGATGTTGTCCCACAGCCGCTAACCTAGGCTGCAATGGTATCCACACGCATCGCGTTGCACGATGACCTGCTGTTAGTCGCCCGGCGGAGCGGGGTTTGGCCGTTGCAAGACAGGTTTTTGGATGTTCTGGGCACGAATTCTTACCGAGGGTGGGTGTAAACCATTTGCAGGTTGTCGCCAGGGATACATGGCCATGGATTAGGGCTCATGTTGCTTTACGTGCACTAGCCCTGAACTCTGAGCATAATGGGCAGTGAACAAGAGCGACAAATGCATTCAATGGCAATTGACGGAAGCAATTGCAGAAAGGAGCAAAATTCCAGATGCAAACTGACAAAATGTCATGTCACATGCGATAAATACAAACCAATAATTGCAAGTCCAATAAAGCAAAACATAAAAAAAAACTGGTTCATAATGTTTGTATATATGTTGATTGTTCTTAGAGATATCAGAGTTATTTTCACAAGGGTACTTCGATGCCTTCACTTCTTGGGCCCTCCAAAACCACTGCTTGCCCCATGATCCGTGGGCCGAGGCGGCCTTTAAAAGGTTTGACGTGGACAACAGCGGAAAGATCACGGTCGGGGCGTCCCGGTTCGTTGGGCGACACCTCGGACGACGTGTTGCACGACTTGGGAACCACTCTCTGGGAGCCTCGACTTGTTACTACTAGCTTCTTGTTACTACTAGTAAGGCCAGGAGCCCCTAGTAGCTTCTTGTTCCTAGTAGTAAGGCACTTGTTACTAGTAGGGTGAAGTTGGGCAACCTTTGAGTTGAACACCTCTAAAGGACCACCGTCGCGGACGGCCGCGACTCCACCCGGTGTCAGGGGGCGGATGGAAAATTCCTCAAACGTGACTCCGACGGCCAGCGGGCTGGTGTTGGCTGTTGAATCAAGTGTTTTCCCTTGTGTGAGGATGGTTGGGAGGATGCGCCAGAAGCTGACAGGGTTGGGTTGCTGTTGGTTCTGGTCGCATTTGATACAGCCCGCAGCCCGCAGGTGGAGAACCTTCGTGAGGCTGGTCTTGGACGCGGAGTTTCCTGCGTCTTCTTGCGATGTTGTCAGTGTTTGTTTTGTGTGTGTGTGTGTTTGGGGGGGCAATTCCCAGGATTGTATGCAAGTGATAGTGGTATGTTGAGTTTCTCGGTTGCATGGATGGAATACATAGCATCAAAATGCTGTGGGTACTTTACTCACCCATGGCCCCGACCCGCATTTTCGAGGTAGAGAGAGAGAGAGATACATTCATGGAGGGTGCCACATTCAACTATTCAGAGGGCTCATGTGTCAGGTGTGATGTTGTGATTTTAAACGACAACAACAACAACAATTAGCCAGGAGGGGGTGTTGGAGGGACCCTCAGAAAAAAAGTAAAATAAAGAGACACAGACCCGTCAAGATGGCTCATCACATCTCATCGTGGATAAACAAA